GGAAAATATTTGAATGGCTTTGATCCCAGATTTCAGGCAAAAAAAAAAATCCGTGCAGAAAATTCCATGCAGAGAGAATCTCTTTAGTTGCCACGATGGATCTCTACAGTTTTGAGTAGAATGAGAGAGAATCTAGCAAAGGAGGAACTCAGGCTGCCTCCAGGCGGCAGAATCCTCTACAAGCGCATTTACTTCCTTACATAGCTTATCCTGCACTTAATTTCTTCAACCTGCCATAGATAGCTCAAGCTAGCCCGATCTCATCAGATCTTGGGAGCAAAGCAGGGTCAGCCCTGGCTAGTATTTGGATGGGAGACCGCCAAAAACAGGTGTATACACATACATGCAGGTTGTATGCGTATTTACTGAAACATGTGAACAGGATTACATTGTATGTATGTTCACTGTATGTGAACAGTGCTCCCGTCTAGTCAGGGAGAGAAATTTCAGGAAAGCAACACACGGGCAACAGTTTGTTTTGGAAATTTCCCCTCTCTCGTGATTATCCGGGCACGATCACACCCCAACATCTGGAAAGTGGAGCGCACCCGTGGCTTACCACCGACAATGCGAGTTAAAAAACTAGTACCTCCAAGGTACTAGTAAACATTTGCCATGGGCTGCCTCCAGACTCCCGTGGTGTGATTGTGCCGGTGTACGGCATTCCCCTCCGGTCCCTTGTTTACCCGCCGGCACCGAGGGAAGGACCCGTGGTGTGCCGCCGGCGCGTCTGATCGCATAATCGCGGATCAAACTGCGCTGGGTCAATTAGCCACACCTCCCCCCCCCCGCGATATCCGGCCCGTGTGACCAGGGCCAGGGTCACCATAAGTCAGCTGTGGCTTGATGGCAAAAAACAAACAAGCAAACAAAAGAATTCTTCAAATACAACGCTAAACCAGAAGTAGGGGCAAGTGCCTTTGTCTGCGTCTTTCTAGGTGTTACAAGAGACAGGGAGCTGTTTTAGCACTCCATGTCTCATCCTCCCTCTCCTTTCTAACATCTGGTAAGTATACCTTCTACACATTCACAAGTTACAGTGAATGCACATGCAATCCATGTTCAGTGTACACTTGAGCTTTCTTTATACATGGGTTGAGTAATTCTCCTGTTGCATCCAAAGCATTTACAGCAGAACATGTGATTTAAACCACACATTTGTCCACGTACTGGCTCCCAGTTTCATCGGTAGAGTGGACACGCATTGGATCTTTTTGACAAACAGGTGTATACACATACATGCAGGTTGTATGCGCATTTACTGAAACATGTGAACAGGATTACATTGTATGTATGTTCACTGTATGTGACCAGTGCTAGTCAGGGAGAGTCTAGTCTAGTCTAGTCTTTCTAGGTGTTACAAGAGACAGGGAGCTGTTTTAGCACTCCATGTCTCCTCCTCCCTGTCCTTGCTCATCTAGTCAGTCTAGTCATGGAGAGAAATTTCAGGAAAGCAACACACAGGCAATAGTTTGTTTTGGAAATTTCCCCTCTCTCGTGAAACAAGAGCTGTATGTGCTGTATATGCTGTACCCTGTCCTTTTATTTTTCTATGATGAGTACTTATTGGAGAGATATTTTTAATGTTTCTTCCCCAAGCCCCCCATATATAAAAGCATCTCCCCAGCCTCAAGTTTATGTATCTTGGAGATAACAGACTACATTCCATGCTGGCTGCTAGGATAAGGAAGTAGCTGTTGGGAACAGCTTCTGAACTAACTTGAAAGGCATTGGATGTTAATTTTGCCCCCCGCTTGGCAGAATGAATGCTTGCAGCTTTAAGAGGAGAAATGTTCCTCTGCAATAGTTCAGCATCTGACTGAAATGATGCAATCCTGTGTTGAATTATGAGTGTTCATTGCTTCTTGGCCTTTGGCTACAATCAGGTACACCGTTCATATACATACCCATAGCATGCTCATTTTTTTAAAAAAAATCTCTTATACGGGACATAGTTCTGTCACCAGTACTGGGAAACTGAATCTGTTCTTCATGGCCTGTGTCAGAAGGGCCATGAGTTCACCAAGTAAAAAGGATTAGATAAAAGAGTAGCCCTGCTTTTCCATTGGAGCAAAAATAAACAAGGGGTTCGTTAGGCTGAGAGATTCTGATGAGCCCAAGATCACCTGGCAAGCTTGCATGGCAAATTGAGGATATGAACCCACTGTTCTCAATCTTAGTCTGCCACTGTAGCCTCTACAGCATGCCAGCTTCAGCCAGTTAGTTCTCTGTCTCCTGTTACCTAAAGTTTTATGGAACATCTTTCGTAGTGAATCTTTCTTGTTGCCTTTTTAGGAAGAAGATGATGATGGACTTCCCAAGAAAAAGTGGCCAACAGTAGATGCTTCCTATTATGGTGGACGTGGTGTTGGTGGCATTAAGCGAATGGAGGTAGGTAAACACAACTTTTCCATGCTAGAAAAAAAAATTAGTTTAAAGTTATCGGCTCAGCTGAACACATTCAGTGCTCCTGATATGTGCAATTGCAGAATTGCCCAGATTACCCTGACCCCACACAGCCAGCTCAGGGAAGAAAGGTAGTGCAGGCCATGTTCGGAAAATAAACTTGCTAGTTCTTGTGAATCTTATGATTCCTATGTTATATTTTTCCTGCTTTCTCTAACACCCAGGGTGTAAACCCAGTGGATCACTGTGAGCAAAAGGTATTCTTGAGTTAGACTAAAACACCTGGCCCTTTCTAAATTGATTCTGGGAATCAAGCAAAAGGGACACTAAATACCATGAGTAAATTGCATGGAATGCCGCTATTTTATTTTTTTTTCTTTAGGTTCGCTGGGGAGAAAAAGGATCTACAGAAGAAGGTGCTAAACTAGAGAAGGCCAAGAATGCCCGAGTCAAGATGCCTGAACAAGAGTATGAATTCCCAGAGCCCAGGAGCCTCGGAAACGGTATCCGGAGGTCCTCTTCTCCCACGAAGTGGTACTCTCCAATTAAGGTACATCTTTATACTGAATTCATAGTAGCCATTCATTACTATTATATCCCTGGAAACACGTATTATCCTTTCCTTCTCTTTTCATTCAAAAGAAGAATGGGGAAGGAATGTTTTATTCAAGGTGGTCTGATGTCAGGTTGAATATAGACCGACCGCAGTAACCTTCAATGGCATTAAATAGGTATTTCACACTGTAGTCTTGAATAATTGCTCTTAGCACTCCACAATTAAGAAAGATGCATTTGCACATCTATCGGCCAATGTTGACATATTTACAGAAAGATGCATTTACACATCTATCGGCCAATGTTGACATATTTATTTGCCTCACTGATTTCCCCCAGAATTAAATTCAAACAATTATAAACTTAGGCTGCTGTCACACGCACCAGTTGGAGCGGAGAGGAAGCAAGGCTATTTCCTCCAGAGGAATTTGACTCACAGTTATGAGATCACACATCCCTTTGTGCTGCGGGCTCAGCCCGTCACTGTGTGATCAGACGTGACCGCGAGTGAGTCTTTTTTTTTTTGCTGTTTGTTTTCCATATGCATAAATGAGGAATCGCACCTCCACACTGAGGGTTCCCCATGGAGTATGCGATTATGTGCATACTGTGAAGGGAGGGGGAAATGACACCAAGTCGGGATGGAATGATCAGTCCATCCCAACGGCATGAGGGCGTGCTTGAGCGATCAGAAAGGGAAAAGACCATCCATGGCCCGTCGGAACCAGTTAGAGCCAGACTTTCCCCAGTTTAACTCCACTTCTGTGGCAGAGCAGCATGGATTGCCGACAGCTGCAGGACGTTTCCCAAATGTTGCCGTCTGATTGTGCCCTTTACATCCGTCAGGCATTCGCAGCTATGTCAGATCTAAAGGCACGTATGATCACAGCCTTAGCTTGTTATTCCTGTTTGCATCTGTTAAAACGTTTCAGTGTATTGTATGCTAATTTTCTGTTCAATCTCTGTCTTATATGTATGAACTGGTAAGTTCTGTTTCACTGTGTCTGAGGAAGTGGGCGTGCGCACAAAAGCTCATACCTTGAATAAAACTTTGTTGGTCTTAAAGGTGCCACCGGACTCAAGCATTGTTTAGAAAAAGATATTATGGATTACATGAGAGATTCCCAAACCTGTGTTCCTCTAAATCTGTCTTTTTAAAAAAATTGCACACTCCTACTAATCAGCAAGTAATCCTAGTTTTTGGAAAGCTGTAGTTTGCCATGATTTTCAAACAAGCTAACTATGGTTTATGCTTGTCATGCAATCCAGGAATGAACTATAGTTTGTATTCCAAGTTTGCAGGGTAAGCACAAACCTTGTTTTGTAAGCTTAAATGTAACTTAAGTGATCTGGGGGTATTTCTCTGGAATGATCAGCCCAGCTCACCTTTGAGCCAGCTGGATAACTTTACCTGGGCAAAACAAAAGCCCAGTGGATAAATAAAGGTGAACATTTATTCCAACATGAGCATTTATGAAACAAGAGCTCTGAAGTAATGGAAAGAAAGAAAATAATTGTCCTATATTTATCCAGGAATTATGGAAGGGGAGGGGAAAAGTGAAGGAGTTGGTAAGAGAAGCCTGATGTCATAAATCAGGGGTAATTCTCTCTGTCAGAGACTTGAACAGCTAAGCCACTATGAGAGAGGTCAGAGGTTCTAGCCTCTCTTATTCAGTGAAGATAAACAAGTGCAATAAAGTTAGGCTAAATTGCACACTAATTAAGGGAGAGGCAGTCTGGAGCATGAGAAAATTAAATGGCATCAGTAAAGGATTGCGGTGTCATACAATACAACAAAGTTAGGGTCCAATGGCACGTTTAAGACCAACAAATTTTTATTCAAGATGTGAGCTTTCATATGCATGCACACTTAATCAGACAATGAAATGGAATGACATATCATAGTTGTATAAATACGGGTGGCTTGTTAAATTAGCATGCAAAATTGTGAAAATATTTTTTAAACAGATCAAAAGAATGACACGCTTGGTTTCTGGTTATCATCTTTTTAGGTTCAACTGGGGAGGGGGGACAATATAGGTAATAAAGATATTAGAACTGGAGACTGATGTGTCCTAATTTGTGAGAATCCCGTCCTTAGACCCCTATCCATCTCCTTTCTAGCATGGAGGCGAACTTTACAGCATTTTGGCTGTGCGGAATATTTTCCTTGTCCCCCCAAACAGAGATACAATGTGTTAAGAACAGTCTGTCAAAATTTCTAAAAAGTGGTTCTTGTTATGTTATTAGAAATTTTAATGAGTGAGGATTGGAAAGCTAAGTTTACTGGGAGCCCAACTTAACTTGTAGCAGTAACATTTTCAAAAACATTTTCAAGTATTCTTCAGTAGAAGTGCCAATTTTTTTTTAATGAACATGCACAGTTGAGTGCAAACGTAACATGAAACCATGGTTTACTTTAACTAGAGTTACATTTGTGAAACCAGACTTGCAGTCATTCACTCAAATCCTCATTCGCTTCAACAAATGGTGGTTTCTTTGCCTTCCACCTGGCCAGACGTTTCTGTAGCTGGGGAGAATGTAAGGACATTGCAGGCAAACAAACAGGGATGTCTGCGTTGGTACATTACATGAAACCATAATTAAGACCAATCATGATTAGTAAACTAACTTCATGATCCCAGATCCTAGTCTGATGAACCCTAACCAACCATAACCAGTGGATTGGCCCACATTTGGACAATCTCATTAACCGTAGTTAATCAAATGATAGTTTCATATTATGTCTGAACTCAGCTGCAGCCACTAGAGTCAGGTCACGTGCAGTTCACATATGACATAGTGCTTGGTGAAATCCTGCCGTCATTTGTCCTGCCTCCGTCTGCTTCCATGCGGTGCAGCTACCTCTAACGTGCCGAGTTCCATCACAGCCTCTGTTTGGAAGGAAGCATTCTCCTTTTTCCAGGCAGATCTCTGGCTTCTTTCAAAGGACAGGAAGGACATTAGAAGTCCCTGGAGGAAGGAAGCCTGTGTGTGTGTGTGTGTGTGTGTGTGTCTCCACAGCTAGTGCTTGCCATTCTTGTACTGTATTGCCTTTGGCCTTTCTAAATCACTTGCAAAACAGTCACAAATTTTGAGTGTTGTGTCATCAGCCAGTTCAAACCAGAAGTGGGTTCAAAAGGGTGGGGGGTTGTTAGGGAAGCCTTGGTCCCAATTTGTCATTCTCTCACTGCTGACTAGTCAGCTGTTTCATTCCCCCCTGCAACTGTACAAATGTAGGCTTGGAATCTCTGTGTTTGTAGAATTCCTTTATCTAGCAATGAAACTGCAGTGGCGTTTGGGACTTTTTGCAGTCAGGGCTGTGCTAAAAGTACCAAAATTCTCCCCTAAATTAACCCAAGCTCTGCAACAAGAAAAGCTGTATTATGCAGCCTGCAAAGCAAACTGTAACCACATTGGTGTGATTTCCTTCTTTTGCATAATTTATTCTGCTAATCATTGCATGGAGCGAGGAGTTGTGTAAAGCACTGAAGCCGCAATCTCAGACCAGATTTGTCTTTTGAGATTCATCAGGTCTTGCCTTCGCCCTTTCAAGGATATTTTCACAGCCATGAACCATAAGGGCTAGAAACTTGTTTTCAAGAAATTAATTTTCAATCATTATTTGTGTGGCGTGCTCTTTTCTGTGCAGCTGTAGCACCATGCACAGTCCTGGGTGTAGCCTCCCAGCCTCGCAGGTGAGGACCACACAGTGGCTATGTTCCAAAGCTACCCAGGGCTTCAGTGCTCATGTACCTCCAGCTCCCTATGCCATGGGAAAAGCCCCATTCTGTACAGTAAACCAGAGAATACACCATATGTGGCACATATTTTCAGCCAGACCCCAAAAGCAGGAACAATGCAGTAGCAGATAATGCAAAGTATGACTAATATGAGCCCTACTTTTGAGAAAATTTACAATCTGGGGCCAAATCCTGCAAATAAGCCTTAAAAATGCAATGTGTATGCAAACAGCACAGAAATGAGAAGATAGCCATAATTAAGCCCCTAATTTCTAAGCCTGTATTTTGATATACATAAAGATGACTACAGGAATTTTCAGGTAGGTAGCTGTGTTGGTCTGAAGCAACAGAACAAAATTTGAGTCCAGTGTCAGCTTTAGGACCAGCAAAATTTTATTCAAGGTATAAGCTTTCGTGTGCATGCACACTTCTTCAGATACTTTGAAATGGAAGTTACCAGTCCATAAATATAGGTAGAGAGTGCATTGGCTTCCAGTGGAGCACCGGATCAGGTTCAAGGTTCTAGTTCTGACCTTCAAGGCCCTTAGCAGTCAGGGACCTACATATCTTCAGGACTGCCTCTCCCAGTATGCCCCTGGAAGAGCATTACACTCAGGAAATAAGAACTTCCTGGTGGTCCCCAGCCCAAGAAGAGTCCGGCTATACTTGACCCCACCTGGTGGAATGCTCTGCCAGAAGACATATATGCCTTGAGGGAGTTGTTACCATTCTGCAGGGCATGCAAGGCAGAGATGTTCCGCCAGGCCTTCGATTGAGGACAGCAACAGAGGTGTCCTTTGGCACTCTTATACAAGTCCCCATCCCTTGTAACCCTCCCCCTGGGGGGGCTGAGGAATTGGAATCCTTTCCGCCATCTTATATATGCTGTGTTTTTGCCATCTCCCATATGCTGTTTTTATATATTGGTATTTACTGGGCCGTTTTAACTTAGTTTTAATTTGAGATTTGTATATTATATTGTTGTAAGCTGCCCTGAGCCCTACTTATAGGGAAGGGCAGCATAGCAAATCTAATTTAATCGATCAATCAATCAAAATATCCACCCATATTCTACTCAAGTAAATTATGCAGTTGGGTTTTGCAGGGCAGTTGATATTTTTTGTTCATGTTGATCCCTCACTGCACATATGGAAAGCATAAAGAGATCAACATGAAAAAAAGTATTAATTGTCCTGCAAAACACCACTGTATAACCCAGTCCTATATAAATTATATAAAATAATTTACTAGGAGGGGTGTCAGACTAACTTGTGGCTCTTAATCTTAAAACCCTTTGGAAAAAGCATCACTATTCTCAGACTAGTTGTTACACCTGCTATTGACAGTTTGACTATACCTATCTACAGGGCTATTTTTGGGCAAGAACGCACAGGAACGGAGTTCCAGCTGGCTCCTGAGTTGGCCATGCCCAGCAGGAACTCATTAGCATAATAGGCCACACCCAATAGCAGAAATTCATTAGGATTGGCTATATTAGGGGTGTGTGGCCTAACATGCAAAGGAGTTCCTGCTACAAAAAAAGCCCTGGGTTTTGACAACAAACAAGGTAAACAGAATAAGAAGGGAAAGGTGGGCGTGGCTGGATGACCACACTTCTGGTAACATGGGGGTGTGGCCTAATGTGCTAATGAGCGGTGCTGTCAGGGGTGTGGCCCAATATGCTAATGAGTTTTGCTGTTGGGTGTGGCCTATTTTGCTAATGAGTTCCTGCTGGGCTTTTTCTACAAAAAGAGCCCTGCTTATCTATCTGTTTTTCAATCAAGTAGTCTGAGAAATCTGATGTTTCCAGATATCTTCGCAATGCATTAAAAAAAGAAGTATATGGACTAACAAGCTAAAATGTATTTGTTGCCATTGCAGGGAAAGCTGGATGCCCTCTGGGTCCTGTTGCGGAAAGGTTATGACCGCGTGTCTGTGATGAGGCCCCAGCCAGGAGACAAGGTACTGTCATTGTTCTCTGGTAACTGGTTCTGTCCAACTCTTTCTAGAAGATGGATTTAAGAGTCAGAAAGGATGCTGGAGTCATTGTTTGCCATGTGTCAACATGCTTTCTCAAAAGACAACGATATTGTATTGCCTATAGGTTTAAGAACTGAAATGTATGTAGGTTTGGATTTTTGTGCTTTATAGAGGAGATGCTGTATTTTACTAGGCAGCAATGCATAAGATTCAATGTTAGCCTCCTGGCAGTGGCGAAAAGAGGACAATTTATCCTCTTTCCTGCACGCAGTCAGGGGTGGATCTACTATGAAACTAATGAAGCTTAAGCTTCAGGGCCCCTAATCCTGGAGTGAATTTTTCAACAGAATTAATGGATATTTAAAGTGCTTAAAGTGTTTGTTATTGTTATTAAAACAAGGCTATTTTAGTGACAGAATCATAAACCAATGGGTTGAAGTACTTAATATTGACCTCAGAATATGTTCTAATACCCATTTCATATGTCCTCAGAATTTCACTGTGATCAAAATTTTCTCAGGGGCTTGCAGCACCCGAACCCCCAGCTGTATGGGCTTACTGAGCTTGCCAGAATCTATTCATAGCCTACATTTTGGCAGCTGGATCCTCAAATCCTTTCTTGGTGCAGGGCTTAATAGTTCTACAGCTCAGCTCTTAGCCAATCAGAACCATAAAAAGATATCTGAATTCTCAGTTCAGGCCCTTTGGACCTTGTTGGATGTTACCCTATTGTTGCTGGTTGAGAAGGGCCCCCCATAACAGTTCAAATGTAGGTCCACCACTGCATGCAGCAATAAACCCCCACACCCCTTGGAGCAGCAGCAACTTCCATCACTATTGTCACACCACAGCTTCAAAGAAGGTATCACAATATGTGGGCGTGTGCCCCAAAATGTCTCTTTAAGAATGTCAGCCTTCAGTTTTGCCAGGGGTTGGCTCTCATTGGGTCAGACTGCCAGTGAATACGTAGAACCTGTTACTCTTTTGTCTCTCATTTGGGAACCAGCAGTGTTGGGTGGTTCCATCACTTTTGCTGTGCTCTGGCCGCTATAACAGTTTTCCTCTTTCTTGCCTTAGGGCAACCTGCTGTTTTTTCTGACCTCAGACCTTTGGCTGCTTATGCACTGCTCAGGCCACATTTGCATGTAGGAGTGTGTACATCAAACATTTTTGGATTGATTTCGGAACTGAGGCTCTGGTCACACGGGCAGGAAAATGCGGGGGGGGGGAGCGTGGCTGTTTGCCCCGGGGCAAACTAACGCAGGGTTAAGCGATCAGACCTCCCGTGGAGGTCCCGTGGGTAGGGAGAGGTGCCGATCACAGGACGGTCCTGCGCGCAACAAAGAAGCGGTGCGGTGTGGCAAACTGGTGTGGTTTTTTGTGTACACCAAAAATGTGCAAGCTCCGTTGGGTGCTTGTGCGCATCCACGGAGACTTGGAAAACACCCCCCTTTTTTGGAAGGGGACATGGGCGGGCGCCGGATGCCACCGGAAACGCGATCAGACGCCCACCCTTGCCCCGCGGTTTCCGGAAACTAGTACCTCCGAGGTACTAGTTTTTTGCCGCGTGTCTTTGGCGGGAAGCCTCGGTTGAGCCACGGGAGCGCTACGCTTCCCAGATGTGCCGGTGAGATTGCGCCCGGAAAATCTGCCTGTCTTCCGTCTCTCTAGCGTGGCTAATGTTCCGTGTGACCGCAGCCTGGATTTGGGGAAGTGTTTTTTATTATCCCAAATTTTTGGGACTCTTCTTGCCTTTGTAATTTATTTCAGGGTTTTTTGGGGTTCCAAAAACATAGGAATATCTTAACAATTGCCCTCCATTTTTTGCCCCTCAGAGGCAGTGGGAGCGGGGCAGGCAGGAAGGAGAGAGAGGGTCTTACCAAACAGCTGGTTGGCAGCATCTCCCTCCCTTTAAATTGTAAAGAGTCATTATTTTCTAAGGGAGGACCTATTGAGAGAATGACCAGGTCTACTGCCCATTGGAAATAATTGACCTGATTTTAATGGCCAGGTCTTCCCATGGAAAATAATGGCCCTTTAAAACATAAAGGAAGAGGCTGCCAAACAGCTGTTTAGTGGATCAGCTTCCTCTATTTCCCCCTTGGCTTGTGACCTCTGAAACCCAAAACACTCCCAAAATTCTGGGAGATAAATCCTTTGTTTCTCCCAGAATTTGGGAGTGTTTGGGGTCATTTCAGATATCCCCAAGCTGACCTGAAACAGCTAACTTTCAGTTTATTTTTGTCTTGGGCACACCCCTACTTGTGTGTGAGTTACTGACTCGGTGAAGGTGTAATGTTCTTGACAGTTTGACTCAGGCTCCTCTTCTCTCACATGCAAGTAGTACCCCTCCCTTCCCATTTTGGATGGAAACAACACCAATATCAACAGTAAATGTGTTTAGTTTTTACTAGAGATGCTGATGGAAGGCATACTCCTGCGACCCAAAGAATGAGCTCTGACAACTCAGAAATCTTGTGTTCAAAGTCAAGTGAACCCAGGGTTGCCAGCCTCTAGGTGGAACCTGGAATTCTCCCAGAACCACAGCTGATCTCCGAACCACAGGGATAAATTCCCCTGGAGAAAATGAAAGCTTTGAAGTGTAGATTTTTATGGCATCACATCCCCACAGAGCATTCTCCCTTTCCCAAACTCCGCCTCTTCTGGGTCTACCCCCAAGTCTCCAGGGGTTTCCCAACCTAGAGTTGGCAACTGTAGGCGAACCTCACAGGTGCCGATTTCCTGTTAGGCTCAGATGGTATATCCAAGCAAAGAAGAATTCCTCCTCTTCTCCCTTTTCCCACCCCACTCCACCCCAATTTATCTGCCTTGTTGATTGGGAGTGATGGGGTGATAGTGAGAAGGGACAGTGCTGGGTTTTTCCTTTTCTTCCCTCTCCTGCTGTGCTTTCTGGGAATTATAGTTCACAGGGAACTAGAACTAATTCCTAGAATGTATGGGAAAGGGGAGAAAAAAATGGAAGAAAGCCCACTGTTTATTTTTTATTTTATCAGCTACTTCATCTTTCTCTGTATTGCTGTCCCTCAACAAGGCAGATAAGGTGGGAAGGGATACAAGGGGAGAGGGGGAATACATAGAGCCACCAGTGCTCTTGATTACATCATTATACTTAAAATTCTTTTAATCCCACTTTTCCTAAAGTTCAAAGTGGTTTACAAAAATTCAGTACAATCATATCACTAGTAAAGAATCACATCTAAGCCAAGAAAATGGCAGCATTGTTACTTGAGTTAAGACTCCTAGAAGCCAGTGTCACTGATTAAAAAAATCATGGGGAAAGAGGAGTGAACACAATCAAAAGCCATATAAAATAGCCCAGCTTTGGTAATGCCATGATGTTCAAAGCTCTCTAAGAACTCAGATTTCAGCTCTAATGGCTTTGTCACTCTTGTAGTTCAAAAAGCTTGGTTTGTTCACACTGGATTGCTAGGGAAACTAAAGAGAGTTTGCCCATATGCAGGAGGAACCCAAGGTTGCCAGTGGTTTTTAGTGGGGTTTGAAGTAATAATTAGGGATGGGCATAAACTGTAAGATGGAGGTTCATGGAGATTCATGCTTTGGGGGTTTTAACACACCCCAAACCCAGAACTTCCACAAACTTCTCCATTGCACAAACTGGTTCATGCTTCAGACATTTGTGTGGGGGGGGGCTAAGTGAGCTCCAAAGGCATTTAAATGCCCTTGGAGCCCACCATGGCTGACCTGAGTGAGCTCCAAGAGTGAGGTCCGAAGGCCTTTAAAGGCAGCCCAACTTGACTGAGATCTTAGAGTGAGCTCTGAAGGTTTTATAGATCTTCAGAGCCCACTTCCAGGTGGGGCCTGCCCATATATGGACATATAAGGCCTATAAAAGCCTTCACAGCTCACTCTGGGAGCTCAGTCAAGTACTGAGCTCCAAAGGCCTATAAAGGCTTTGGGAGCTCATTCTTGGAGCTCAGTTAGGCTGGCCCAACCCGGAGGTGGGCTCCAAAGGCATTTAAATGCCTTCAGAGCACACTTGGGTCAGGCCACTGGCCAGCAGTGGGTTCCAACAGCATTTGGACCTTCTGGACCTGCCCATGATCCTCCATGAAAACATGGAGATTTGTGGGTGAGTTTGTGTGATGAAGCAGTCTCCTGAACCCTTGGCTCATGTTTCGCAAACTGGCCCGGTTCATGCTGAACTGGGGTTCGTAAATCGTTTCGTGCCCATTCCTACTAATGGTATCAGTAATGTTGGTTTAATGCTATTTTATCATTCACATTGAAAGGGGAAAGTAGGAGGGGGGTTGCATTCAGGGAAGGGAATGTACAGTCCTTGTACATATTCCGGATCACCAGACCATGGTTAGCAGATCAGGAACGTTATATTTGTATTGAAAAGTACAAGTCTGATTGGGTACAAATTTGTTTTAAGGTATCTTTTTGTCCACTGAAATTCTAGCTTACTGAACTTCATCTCAGAATGTCTGTTAAAGTGGCTGAAGCATTTTTCATTGTGAATGCAAATAATGCCCTCTTACAGGACATTCAGGAGTTAAATGGACCTTCCACTAGAGGATCAGCTGCATTCCTGTGCTGCTTCTGGCTTGTCTGAGCTTCCATATGGGACATTTCCTGTTTCTTTAAATGTTGTTACATTGCAAAGCTAGTAACGATCCCTGTGCGGCAATGACATAACTGGAAGGGTGATGTAATAGCAGCTGAAGCAATGAATAATACTGGAGGGACTGTACGTGAGACTCCTGGGCTAAAGTAAGGAAGGTAGGCAGGTTATTTTTTCCCTCCTGCTCTCTGACTAGAGACAGTAGAAGAGTCTGCAAGAGATTTGGAAGTGGTCTCATAAATGTATCATTGCCACTGGTGAACATTTCTCTTGTTCATTGGCAGGTTTACCAAAAGCAAACATGGGACAAGTGGCTGCACCCAGAGCAGCAATCATTCTTTTGAGTGACCTTCAGCCTTCTGAAAAACTTTGATCA